TTCCACCTTCCTAAACCCTTCTTCCACCTTCCCTTCCAGAACAAAAGGCCTAGCTGGCCCCACTCCAAGAGTTCCACCTAGCCTGCCAAAGCCTTCCAGCAGCAACCTGTGGAATCTCCCTCCGGCATGCCCAGTATAAAAACAAGTTCCCAACCACTCTGGGTGCAGCCACCACCTTTGCCCAGGCGGGTCTCAGTCCTCTTTCATTAAACTTGGCTGAACCTCTGGGTACACAGCTGAGCCTCCTATCAGAAAGAATGAAGGCCAATAGAATTATAAGTATGTGGGTAAAACTAAGTGACTAGTCTCTGTATAACATAATATATACAAAATTAAATTGCATACAGATTGTGTATACCAAACAATTGCATATAGATTGGAAAGCAGAGTTAGAGATTTCTATAGTTCTTGCACTGTTTTCAAAGAAGATAAAATTACTAATTAATGTTAGACTTTGATAATTAAAGGTTTCATGCTATAATCTAGAGTAACCACTAAAAAAAGCTTTTTAAGTGTTTAACTTCTAAAATTAAGAAATTCAATACAAAATGATCCAAAAGTTGACAAGAAAGGAGAAAAAACAGAATATGCAAGACCACAAGAAACCATACAGTAAGACGGTGTTTAAACCTAAAAATATCAATAACTAAATTAAATGTAAATGCAAATTAAGCATATGCTCCACTTAAAAAACAAGGGTTTTAAAATAAGAATTGTAAAAGTATGTGATGCTTACAAAAGTATATGATGCTTATACTTATTAAATATGAGGCTACAGAAATATTAAAAGGATAGAAAAAGATATGCCATTAGAAATATTTATAGGAGGGCGGCGCCTGTGGCTCAAAGGAGTAGGGCGCCGGCCCCCCATGCCAGAGGTGGTAGGTTCAAATCAGGCCCCAGCCAAAAACTGCCAAAAAAAAAAAATATATATATATAGATATAGATATATATCTATATATCTATATGTATATAGAAATATTTATAGGGAAAAATATGATAGTTATTAAAGTCACACAAAATGGTGTTAACACAAAAAGAGGTAAAGAGAATCACTTTATAAATATAGGAGTTTAAAGTAATCAGGAAGGTATAATAAATACACATTTCTATGTAACTAAGAATATGAAACTAAGCTATGTATGTGTACATATGTGTGTGTATATACATATGTGGAAAACTTACGTAACTATAAAGAAAAGTAGGCGAAAATCATAATCATAGTGGGAGATTTTAACTTACATCTCATTAATCTACAGAGGAAGCAGATGAAACATTAGTAAGAATATAGAAGATTTGAGCAGTCTTTGATGAGTAAACCTGATATGATGGACATATACACAAAACTAAATACAAGAAATATAAAACAGACATTCTTTTTAAGCATACACATAACATTGCTAAAAATTAACCAAGTAATGGACCCTAAAACAAGTCTCTACAAATATCGAAGGATTGGAATTATATCTTCTCTAACCATGGTTAAAAATGTAAATTAGAAATCCTTTTTTTAAAAAAAAGTATATCAAAGCAGTACACTGAACTCCATAAATGCATCAATGTACAAAGTTATGATTTAATAAAAAATAATTTTAAAAGTATAAACTAGAAAATACAGAGATATATTGAAATTTTTTAAAAATACACTTCTAGGTGGCGCCTGTGGCTCAAAGGAGTAGGGCATCAGCCCCATATGCCGGAGGAGGCAGGTTCAAACCCAGCCCTGGCCAAAAAGTGCAAAAACAACAACAACAACAACAAAAAAAAAAAACACTGCTAGCCAGGCATGGTGGCTCTGCCTGTAATCCTAGCATGCACTCTGGGAGGCCAAGGTGGGTGGATTGCCTGAGCTCATGAGTTCAAGACCAGTGTGAGCCAAAGCAAGACCTCATCACTAAAAACAGCCAGGCATTGTGGCAGACACCTGTAGTCCTAGCTACTTGGGAGGCTGAGACAAGGCATTGTCTCTCGTCTCAGAGAGAATCACAAAGCAGTGATTGTCTACTGGAGCCCAAGAGTTTGAGGTTGCTGTGAGCTATGATGATACAGCACTCTACAGAGGGTGATAAAATGAGATTTTGTCTCAAAAGGAAAAATTAAAATAAAGTTGTACTAACTCTAGAGT